TAGTTAATTAAATACGCCTTCGTCCATTTAGTACTACTAAATTGTAAATTTCAACATACTAAAACGCTGGTTTCTGACCATCAGTATTCTGTCAAATCTTCCCCCAAAGTCCAGGAAATGGCACTTCAGAGACTTTACATTTAAAAATTTCCTTGGGCCTTCGGCCCAATCGAAAAGAGCTTCCTATGGCCCTGCCTTAAAAGAGGCCGTAAACCAAATGTTATATATCTCATAGCAATATGTATTATTAAAAGCAATGCATGAAGCTAGAAAACTCAACAAAAGATCCATACTCCCCTCACAGAGGAAATTTCTGCCGTCCGGAGGGGAGAAAAAATTGTTTCTGATAACAGTAAATGTATTAGGACATCCGAAGGGGGTAGGGGGGTTAACTTCCTATTTCCTCTGTGATGTTTTCTGGAATGACCCAATAGTATAAGCTATTGAAAAAAAATGCTGTGAAAGAGAGTGGAAAAAAAAAATCATACATGGTGATGAGATAGAAAAAAACTTGCACATAATGATCCCAGAAAAAAACTCCATGCCAGCAGTAAATTACCTCCTCCCCCCCTCAAAAGTTAAATGGTCGGCCCCTCAATTCATTCGTTTCTTAATAGTTTTGTCTTTTTACTGTAAAATGACTAAAGTAAAAGTACTGTTACTGTAAAATTACTATTTAGTAAAAGTTTGTAAGCAGTACTGTAGTGTATTTTAATGCAATTGTAATGTGTCTAGGTGTGTCAAGGCAGCAGTCAGTCTCATAAAATATACATATTATGCTGTTTATTAATTGATCTGTATTATTGAGAGCAGAACATATATTAACAATGTCACAATTTCTTGAAACCTAAAAGCCTGATTTACTCCATGAAGAAAAGACAAAGCTAAAATGATCTCAGCAGGTTGCAGTATTCAGTCAACAAACAATGTTTTATAACCAATACATTTTTTTATGATTAGGCTGATAGATTTCACACAGATCCTATAATACTAGAGACCCTTTACAATTAAATTGTTTTTACACAATTATGCAATATAATGCATATATAGACATGCAACTGAAAGTAACTGTTTGCAGCATTCCATCTTCACTTTATACTGTCTCTATAGGATCTAAAAAGCACAGAAATGAGATACCATTATTTTACAACTTTCAATTTCTTTCAAATTTATTAATTTTAATCTGCTTCTTTGGAATAAAACGCCATTGAGGTCTTCTCAGAAGAGTGATAATTAATCATGACTATGACTTTAATATAAGGAACATATTACACAAGCAGGGATGGGATGGTATATATTCTCACAAGGCATTGCGTTTAAGCACCCACCATTAACATAAATAAGATCACTACAACGCACCTGCTATTCTTTCTACCATCCTGAATCATTTGTTCCTTTAACAAATCCCACAAGCGTGTCAAGCGACATAATTTGTTTGCGTTGATTAGGTTGATAGAAACAAATATGAGTCTTGTCCATATAAAATTCACCATTTCCAAAACAATAAAGTTCATGACCAATTTCTCATGTGTTAACTTATGGTATAATTCACCGATCTCTATCAGAAATTCCCATTTGAAAGGTGTTGTCACGACTGTATTCATGATTCATCTCAGTCGCACTCAGAAACATCGTCAAAAATATAGACACGTTTCTTTACGATTGAGTTCATTTGAATGTAAAAGAGGTCCCCAACATTCTTGAACATGTGCTTTTGGTTAAAATACCATATTTGACTTGATTTGTTCCTCTATTGCGAGATAACAGAACAAAACAGTTGAAAATACCGTATTAATCACAATAGCTCACTCCTCAAGGTGGTCACAGTAAGATGGCGGCCGCGCGCGACTTCCGGCTTCAATTTCTGCATCTATAGTTGCGCTCTCCATATATTTATAGCTCAGTGGCTGTCATGCGTAAAGCGTCTAATTCAATTCTTGCGAATGAGAGCTCACGGATTGGCACTCCCAAATATTGGCAAAGAGATAAGAAATCAGCGATGAATGCGGCATTGGTGATAATTCCGAAGCTGCCAAGTCGGGAAGTCATAATGCGAAATATTTAGCTGTGTTTTAGCAACCGTTTCTGAAGCCGTATATTAAAGTAATTAAACATGTCGCATGTACGACATCAGCACGAGCGTAGTTTATCGCAATGACTACCAAAATTAACAATATAATTTAGAGAAAATAAATAATGTATTCCGGCGCTTGTTTAGTATAAACAATACCCAAAGGCGAACACGCAACTATTCCTCTAGACATTTAATATAGTGCTCACAATTTCATGGTTTTGTTCAGCAGATAAGATTATTATAATTTGCATGAAACGATATTCGCAAATGTAAAACCTGCATATGAATAAACAGTCAATTTCGCATCATGTCCACCCAGTAAATGCATTAATAAATTAATTTATTTATTTTGACTGGTGTTGGTAGGTCGAGACTTGACAGCGGTTGGGGCGCCATTACTGGAGAATCGAGGGGATGAAAATTAAAATTTTGCAATCGGATATATTCTATGCATGGAGAATGTCTAGGTTGCCAAGAGATTGGAAGCCCATTGTCATAAAATAACCAGAATTAGGCATCTTGGTCGCGTATTCAAGCTTCCTAATGACTTTTAACCCCCCTGGCATCGTAGTATGTGGTTTGGCCGCAAAGAGCGCAATTGTGTATAAAATTTTTAATTTGGCGCCACCGCGTACTGCCAAGTCACAAACCACAAATCTATATTAGAGCGGGTGGTGCGGACAAAAATAGTTGAAGGATAGGAAGTACCAAGTTGGCCATAACATTTCACTGTCAGTGTACTGGCAACCATGAAGGGTGGATGATTGACGTTTTCTTCAGCGGCCATTTGTACTTGAGATGCTTGGGCTAGTAGCATGGATGTGCTGAAAGGAACGACTAAAGAACGCAGACAAGCAAAATTTGAGTTGCTTATTAACTGTGGCTTGACCGATTGATATCGACATACCAGCTAAACGGGCTATAAACCTAACAAAAACATACTGTACAATAATAAAATAACATGTAAGACAAAAAGCAGTGGAATAATCTAATTGATATTCTATAACAATACTGCAAAACGTTAGAAGTATTGACATATATGTAAACGTCACAACGAAATGAATTTGGCATACATCACACAACGCAGCGGAATAATCATGGCATACATCGGAGGTAGCCGCACATTGAATATTCCATTTATACAATGCTGCAAAATATATAAATATTCGGGCAATCTGAAAACAACTAGCTGCACCGTCCCACAATATATTGATTTCAACTGTGGGCATCTGAAAACGATAATCGCTCTATCCCACGTAGACATGCATTTTTCCTAACACAGGAACAGTAGCAAATTATATACAGTCACAGTGACACAACATAAGTTTAGACGAGAACAGCCGTAACAGCCACGTATACAAAACAGACTGCCGAATGAGAACATGAACATATATCTGTATATAAATGCCAGAAATTCATGAAAACGTCCTGTGAAGGAAAAACCCAATGTTGAAATCTCAACGTAGGCATCTGAAAACAGCTAGTGCTCTAGCCCATAACACATGAAATTTACAGAGAAACATACAAAACACGAAGCAGCGGGGAATAATCACAATGGCATACATCGGAGGTAGTCGCAAATTGAATATTCCATCTATACAATGCTGCAAATTATAAATATTCGGCCGGCAATCTGAAAACAACCATGCAGCCGCACCATCCCATAATATATTGATTTCAACTGTGGGTATTTGACACAAGAACAAGGGCAGAATATATATACGCACACGTACAATGTTTAAAACACAACTTTGACACGTATATACACAAAACAATACAAAGTTATAACAATCGTATATATAAATGCCACAAATTCATGAAAAAGTTCTGTGTAGCAAAAAACCCAAGGGCAAAGTTGAAATCTCAACGTGGGCATCTGAAAACAGCCAAGTTGCTCTATAGCCCATAAAACATGAAATGACTTCAATAACATGAAACGGTAACAACGGGAATATTGCTAATAAGCTAATAAACCCGAATAGCAATAGCACAATATGCTATAGTTAGCAGCATCAACACCGCAAATGCTATTGTTAGCATATTCATGATAACATATGTACAAACATAATGATGGTAACATATACGTATACAATTCTGACCCCTAACATAAAATTAGCACGAATACCCACTATATCATACAAATATAGTGAAGAGCACATGCAGACATGCATGCCCCCAGATTATAATCTGCCTCGTAAGGTATAGTAAAGAAATTAACATCTGTAAAATATATGCAATCGCGAGGACTGGACATAATGTGTCAGCAGTAGGCTATAATTAATCGATAATTGACGCTGTAGGGATTTAATATCGGTTTGGTAGAAAGTGCGGGTTGCGGGTTGCGGGTAGTTTTTTGCGGGTTGCGGGTAGTTTTTTTGCGGGTAGTTTTTGCGGGTTGCGGGTAGTTTTTTGCGGGTAGTTTTTTTGCGGGTAGTTTTTTTGCGGGTAGTTTTTTTTGCGGGTAGTTTTTTTTGCGGGTAGTTTTTCACAACTATATTTGCTAATTCATTGATAAGTTTCTTTCACAAAAATAGATTTATTTATACAACCTTTCATTCATTATACTTATTTCCACTACACAATACAAAATCCAAAATATACATTATAATTATGAAGCCCCAGTTACACGATAATGGATTTGCTTGTTAGTTTATAACCTGCGCCGAACAACGAGAACGAACGAATATCATTGAAATCGCGAAAGCTGATTGGTTTACATATTTAAACATGTACAAATAGACCAAAGTCTGAACGAACGAGTGAACGAATGACGCAGTTAGTATGAGCCGAACTATGCCTACTACAACCAATACGTTAGAACCTACTGACAAAACGGGCATGTCTTATTACGGTGAAACGATCCATAGACAGAACAACGATCTGGAACTTATATGGTCGGAAATAATAACTCGAACTGATGATCCAAACTTAGCAGAAAAGGTAAATGTAGTCAATGCCGAGCTCGCTAAATTATGTACAGATAAGGGCTGGGGACTTATTAAACACAACAACATTAAAGGAAGTCTTTTAAATAACTCTGGTCTACATTTAAATAAACATGGAACTACTACATTAGCTAAAAACTTAAGACAATTTCTTAGCAGCCATTGACTAGATCCTGAGTTTTCAAACACTACGGATCCTGATTCAACATTTTTGCATATCGTAGATCAAATAAACACACAGTCTAGTTCACGACAAACAATGCAAATAAACAGCACGCCTTATCCAAAACTGAAGGCTTTAAAATTGGCCATCTAAACGTTGCAAGTCTATATAAGCATGTTGATGAACTAAGAATTTTTATGAACGATAAAATGTTTGACATATTAAGTATCAATGAAACTAGACTTGACGGCACTATTGACAACAACGAAGTTAATATCACAGGTTATGATCTTATTCGGAAAGACCGAAATCGAAATGGTGGGGGTGTCGCAATTTATATACGAAATGTTATTCCCTACACTATTTGCAATCACTTACTTTCAAGTACAGTAGAAGCTATTTGTATTGAAATTAACAAGCCTAACAGCAAACCTCTACTGATCTCAACATGGTATCGTCCTCCCAATGCCAAGATAGAATTACTTGTCCATTTTGAAAAATTTTTACAGAACATTGATGAAGAGGACAAAGATTTTGTTATAACTGGTGATTTTAATTGCAATTTTCTGTCAACTGAAAATAATAACCAACATACAAACAAATTGATTGAGTTAATAAATGAATACCAACTACAACAGTTAATCACTAGCCCGACAGGAATTACTCCTAGAACTAAAACTCTATTAGACATTATTATCACAAAAATAGGCGACACAAAAATCATTGAATCAGGGGTCATTCACCTCGGAATTAGTGATCACAGCCTGGTTTATGCATGCAGAAAGGTTAGTATTCCAAAAGCAAAACCTAAAGTAGTAGAAACAAGACAATTCAAGCACTTTAACATTAACAATTTCCAGCAAGACCTTAACCAAGCACTTAACTCAACTTTGTTTTACAATTGCACTGATGCAAATACTGCCTGGTGCACATGGAAGGAAATATTTTTGGAAATTGCTGACATTCATGCCCCATTACTAAAAAGAAAGGTAAAAAGTGAATATAACCCTTGGATGACAAACGAAATTAAGAATATGAGCTATCATAGAGATTTTCTAAAGAGAAAAGCAATTAAACATAATTCGACAAGATATCATGAACTATACAAGAATTGCAGAAATCGTGTTAACAATCTTATTAAAGATACTAAAGCTATATACTTTAAGAACAAGCTAGAAAGTACTACGAACAGTAAGGAAGGATGGAGAACAATCAATTTACTATTGAACAAAAAATCTAAGTCCACATTAATTAACGAATTAAAAGTTGGGGATAGTATAGTTACTGGTGACAAAAATATTGCAACAGCATTCAACAATTATTTTTCTACAATTGGTGAAAAATTGAGTGAGAATTTATCTTGCAACAATACCGACCCTCTTAACTACGTGACACCAGTGACTGAGGTATTCGAGTTAAATAATATAACAATGGATGAATTAAGATGCGAGATATTTAAAGCAAAAGCCGGGAAATCAACAGGTTTGGATAAAATTTCAAACAAACTATTAAAAGCAGCCGGGGAGACCATTATCGGCTCCTTAAGTCAAATTTTTAATCTATCTATCGATACTGGAATTTTTCCAGACGATTTGAAACACACTAAGGTAACCCCTCTTTACAAATCAGGGGACAAGATGGATTGCGATAATTACAGACCTATCTCAGTAACATCAGCAGTAGCAAAAATTTTTGAAAAGCTGGTCTCTAGGCAACTAAATAATTTTTTAGAATTTCACCAGATAGTATCCACAAATCAATCTGGATTTCGCACTCAACACTCCACAGAGACTGCACTCTTATATTCTGTAAATCAATGTCTTGTAAATATGGACCAGGGCCTTATTAATGGTCTACTGTTTCTTGATCTCAAAAAAGCATTTGACACTGTGGACCACAACATACTCATTTCAAAATTAGAGCTTTACGGAGTACGAGGAAAAGCATTACAATGGTTTATTTCATATCTGAGAGGGAGAAAGCAAGTTTGCAAAATTAATCACGAAATATCAGATAGAGCTACAATTACTTGCGGAGTCCCTCAGGGTTCAAATCTAGGACCACTGCTTTTCTTACTTTACATCAATGACTTACCAAATTGCTTAAGGTCTACAAAAGCATCAATGTTTGCAGATGACACTAATATATCCTGTGACGGAAAATTAGCAACTGACATTCAACAAAAAATTAACTCAGACTTGAACAGTGTTCATAATTGGCTATTAGCTAACAAACTAACTTTAAGTGCTGAGAAAACAGAATATATGGTTGTTGGTTCGAGACAAAGGCTTAATCAAATAAATTCAGATCCTGACATATTAATAGGAGATCATATGATAAAGAGAGTTTCTAACAAAAAATTCCTAGGAGTGGTTCTTGACGAACAACTTAATTGGCATAACCATATAGATAATCAATGTGCAAAAATTTCAAAAAACATTGCACTTTTGAGAAGAGCAAAAAGTTTTCTGACAGAAAATGCCCTTATTACAATGTACAATTCACTAGTCCTACCACATTTCACTTACTGCTCAACAGTTTGGCACAACGGAAATATCACCCACATTGACAAATTAAGTAAATTACAAAAAAGAGCAGCACGTGTTATCACTAACTCAGGGTATGACATAAGATCAACAGAGATCTTAAATAGATTGAATTGGGAGCCCATTGCAAATATCCTCGAACAACGTGAACAAACAATGACATTTAAGGCAATTAACAAAATGACACCAAAATATTTAACAGAAATGTTTACTATGTCCCAGAACGATAATTATGCATTGAGAAGTAACGAACGAAAACTTCACTTATCAAAACCAAACACTAACTTCCTTAAGAAAAGTTTTTCCTACCGCGCAGCAGTGTCATGGAATAAACTTCCAAACGAAATTCTCGAGGAACATGAGCATCTTTCATTGAATCAGTTCAAAAGGCTTATTAAAAATTGCTAAGATAGCGAAATTTTCTCGAAATTTTATCGAATGTTTACTTGCATTGTAAGGTCGTTTGCATGTTATACTTCAATTTGAATTAATGTTAGTGTGTTATACTTTAGGTTTAGATTTAGTTTTATATCTTTTTAATAGTTTTAGACCACGGCCCTTTGAAAAACAGGCAACTGAAAGGTTACCGTGGATAAATATGTTTAAATAATAAAATAATAATAATAATAATAATAATAATAATAATAATAATAAATAATAATAATAATAAAGCCTTTATCAAGTTCAAACTCAAATTTTTTGCGCGTTTTCTGTTATAGTGTACTAGGCTAACCTCCATGACATTCGTAGTACTGCATATCGTCATTAAATGTCGTTGATCGTCTATGACTATGGTTATGC